TACAAAGCTTAGGATAATTATACTTCACTTGTTTGGCATTTTTAAGCCACAGCTACAAAAATCTTTGTAGTAAAAGAAAAGTTTTGTTCTTGGGGGGAAAGTATATAACAGGGTGAAGCGCCTAGGTTAGAGCTTTGAGTTAGCAGTGAGTCTGCTCGTGTTCCCTCCTCTGCTGTACTTAGAACAATCCCTCCCTCCCTCCCTCAGATTTATTAATCCTGGGAGCCATGGCAAACGCAGATTGGATCACATTACTTGCCTGCTATCAAACCCTTCCATGCTCTTCTTTGGAACAACTTGGGCCAAAGTTCCCCTGAACAGTAAGCTCCAAGAGGACAGGAAAGGTTTTACACTGCTTTGTTCCCTGCTCCAAACTAGTATAGCGCTTGCTCACACCAGGTGCTCAACCATGACCCACATGGCCCACCGTGTGAATGAATGCCCCCGCGGACATACCCTGACCTTTCTCCCAGGGCCAGGGTGTGCACACCTCACTGGGCTGCGTGTTCTGCACATTGGCCTGTGAGCGGCAGCTTCTGTGGGGTACCCAGTACTTCCAGGGCAACCGCCCTCTCTGTGGGCTGCTGTTTGTTGTCTGCTATTCTCACCCCAAGTCGCGGAGCACCCCATCCTGTATCTGTGCACCTAAGAGTCGCCAGAAAACCTCTCAACTGCCAGTTAACACTGACGATTTGGCTGGGCGAGGTGGTTCACACCTGTAATCCCAGAACTCTGAGAGGTCAAGGCAGGTAGAACCTTTGAGCTCAGGAGTTTGAGAACAGCCTTGACCAAGAGCAAGACTCCATCTTTACCAAAAATAGAAAAGCTACCTGGGTGTGGTGGTGGGCACCTGTAGTCCCAACTACTTAGGAGGAGGCTGAGGCAGGGGGACTGATCAATCCCAAGAGCGTTTGAGGTTGCTGTGAGCTATGATGCTAAGGCAACAGAATGAGAAACTGTCTCCAACAAACCAGATTTGCAGGTTACAGTCTTCCTGAAGAACCACTGCCTACCTAAGACCAGGCCTAGCCATATACATTTTTAAGATGTTTGAGAGCACAGATGTGGAGGACATTTTTAACCTATTAAGATTTCGTTCCTATAGATGCCCATATGCTTTCAATCTGGAATATTGCTCTGCCCCAGAGGCAGTTCAGAGCTGTAATCAGCACAGGTGTTTGGTGTGCCAAGTGTGGCTCTTGTCCTAAAGGAGACTCAGAAAATGAGGCTCACTGGTTTCCAGTGAGGGCAACAGATGGTGAGGGCCGGGCAGGGGTTACTAAGGAGGGTTTCATGAAATGTTCTCGGGCTTCTCTGCCTGGGCACTGATGGACTCTGCTTTGCTCACAAAGCCCCTGTGGCCTGGAATGCTCTTCCCAGGCCAGTTTTCTCTGCAGCCTTTAAGATGCAACCCAGGGCCACCTTGTTTTCTCCAGGAGGGCCTCTCTGGTCCTGTCTCCTGTTCACTTCCCACAACATCCTGTGTCAGCACACTTAGGAGACTGTATCAGAATCCACCTTCCTGTCTCATACACTTTCTCCAGAATAAGAACTGTGTCCCATCCCAAAACAGTATTCTGCACACAGTAGGTCTGCTGGTGGAAAGAATGAACAGGAATTCTTGCCAAATTTATTTCCTGGGCAAATAATTACTAGCAGTGAGAGGAAGGCCAGGAAGCTGTGGTTAAGGAGAGGACTGTTCTCTGTAGGCCTGTCCCCTCCGATACTGGGGTCCCTTGCTGTGGAGGGCAGGCCGACCTTTTTGGACAGTGAGCCTGAATTCTCTCCTCTGAGACAGAGGCTGGACAGAAAGACTGAGTTGAAAAGGCCAGGAATCGTTAGTGCGGAAAGAACTCAGAGGACCTGTGGAGGTGACAGGCTTTCATACCAAACTAGAGGTTTCTGCATCTGTCACATCTAGAAACCCCTAAGCCAGCTGTGCCCCTGTGGCTACTAAAGGGATCAACCACCCATGTCACACTCCCCTGTTGAAAGAGAAACAGTGACAACAAAGTCAGGGGCCTGGAAAGCTGGAGAAGCTGCAGCTTGTGTGGAGAATGACTTAACCAGGATAAAGCCGTCCCAGATAGTTGGAGTCAAAGCCTGTCCCCCAATCCAAGAAAATTGGTGACAGCCGGTGACATCTGCAGTTTCTTCTTTAGTAGGAGAGGATGGGATGGTTCCTCCTAAAGCGATTTGCTATGTGTTCAATGGGAATAATTGATGGTATCTTGTCACCTAGGATGTTGTCCTTTGGTAAAAGAATTTACCCAAACCCACCTCTGCAAGCTGGACAGACAATACTGGAATACCTGCCTGAAGATAAAGTGAAATACTGACCTACCCACATGTCATACACACAGCCACAGAATAAATGAAATGTGTGCTGGAGAAGGAATCCAAACTTCTGTGAATTTTAAATGGTTTCCAGAACGTCCTCTTCCATAAGAAGCATAAAATTTTGAGAGTATTTCGTACTGCCAAAAAAGTATGAAATGCAGGCAGTCCACAACTTATGAACAGGTTGTATTTCAGAAGTTTGTTTTCCAGTCATCCCTGCAGGAATTTGGAACTCACGTTTTCCAACCGAAGTTGCACCATACGTGGCAGTCAGATTACCCCATCACGCAGGCAGAGTGTGGCTGGATGGGTCGGGCTGCAGGTAACTGGTAGTTTAGGGATGCTGATGACGCATGTGGGTGGCCCAGGGGCAGTGTTGAGGCTGCCTTCCCCCTGGAGACCCTGCACACACACTTCTGAGACTATAATGTCTGCAGTAGTCCCCTTTTATCCATGGTTTCATTTTCCATGGTTTCAATTACCCGAGGTCAACTGTGGCCCGAAAATATTAACAGAGAAGTCTGTTTCCAAAGAATCAGATTCATGAGTAGCATTACAGAATCTCACACTATCCTGCTCCCTCAGGCTTGGGACATGAAATAGTCCAGAGTATCCACATCATATAAGCCACTGCCTGTCACTGAGCAGAAAAACATGTGGAGCATAGGGTTCAGTACCATCTGTGCTTCTGGTATCCACTGGGGGCCTTGAGACGTATCCTGGGATAGAGGGGGACCGCTTTATCTAAGTCTTTAATGGCTGGACAATCGAACTTCCTAGGTGTACGTGATAGATACACAACAGACATTTTGCTAAAATGCCACTAAATCTGGTCTGGGGACAGGGGCAGCAAGTGTGGGGGGACTTCTTCCCTTTCTTCCTTCACTTTGTCCAGCCTGCCATGAAGGAGAGGACTCTTTCCAGGACCAACACTCTGTCCAGGTAAGAAATGAGAGCCACGGTCCTGAATAAAAGTGAAACTCCGAGCTCTTTCAGCAGGAAGGGCAGGGGAATCATGAAGCTGATGTCCTGGATGGACATTTGTATATAAGCTACCAACGATTAATTTCTCCAAAGACCTCAAAACAAGATGGAGCAAAACAGCGAAAGGTGTCTATGGTATGGGGAATGGGAACGTTGCATTGGGGGTGTTTGGGCGTTTAACTGTCCTAGTGGGAAATTTAGGCAAATGATTTTAAATGCACATACAAAAAAACCACAAACCAGGCCGGACTCCGGCCAATGGAATCGGAAGGACTTTCCAGTGATTATGCAGATTCATCTCCCATCCAGGTCTTCAGCTAGGCTGGAAGAGGCGGCCAATTACTCCACAATTCTTTGGGAGTCTGCTGGTGCCCTGAACCTCTGAGCATCTGAGGCCTGGAATGTGGGTGATGTACAAGTACATCAGCTGTTCCGCAGCCCGGCCTGGAGAAAGAGCACGGGCAACCCTCAGCTGCACGCGACTGCTATTCTGGGAGAACAGCTGAGAGGGCCTCCCGGAGCGAGAGGCAGGAGCACGCCTGCCCTGGGCATCACCCTTTGGCCAGAACCTCCCTCCGCTGCCTGCCAGGCTTCCCTGCACTTTTTAAGGTCAATAAGCCGCTGCCCATAAAGCATACCCTGAACATACGGACAAGAGCTACAGACTTCAGTGCACTCAAACAAACACTTACCCAAAAGTTGGGCAGGCCATATTTATTTTACATTTTTTAGAGATAGGGTTTCTCTCTGTCACCCAAGTTGGGGTACAGTGATGTGATCACAGCTCACAGCAGCATTGAACTCTTGAACTCAAGTGATCCTCCTGCCTCAATTTCCCGAGTAGCTGGGACTACAGGTGCCCACCACCACACTGGGCTATAGTTAATAACAGACATAATTAAGAATGGTAGAAGAGATTGTGGGTCCAAAGATGACCACTCCACGTATTCTGCCCCCCCCCCAAAGATTATCTCAGTTGATAATCAAAGGTAATAGGACTTAATGGCAGCTTCTATGACCAACACCTTTTGGTCCAACAAGCACTTATCAGAATGAATCAAGAACTCCCCAGGAGGATTGACATTCAGTAATACCGAGAACAAAGAAAGAGGATGCAGGGTGGGGACCTGAACTCAGAAGAACATTTCTGGAAACTTCTGAGAAGAAAGATAGACAATAAGAAAAACAGGAAGCTAGCTCTCTGGTCCTCCTGTTCGTCAGACAGCCACTTCT